TGGCTGAGTGAGCGTCTGTCGGCTCACGTGCGCCGTCTGGAGGGCCGCACCGGGTCATCTCGCCACGGGACGCCTGGGACGGGAGCTGCCGGGGGTCCTTGCCTCCTCAGGGCGCACGGTGCGCGGGGCTTTGGCATAGTCGGCCCCGTGCCTGCCTGTGCCCCCGAGGCCCTCCCCGCCGTGCAGCCACCAAACTCACGCACGCCCTCTCTGCGCCGTCCATGCCGCGCGTGTCTGCTGCTGTCCTCGTCTCCTCCTCCGTTCACGGGGCCTCCCGTCCCAGCGTGCTGTGTCCTAGTGGCCGTGCACACGGCGGGTGTCCTCTCCCAGCATCCCAGGGTGTTTCTGACCATCTTAAAGCGTGGCCTCCCACATTCCAGGCACGGCCTCCCTCAGGGCCGAGGTCGCCAGCTCCTCCTCCCCGGGCCATCTGGGGCCGGCCCAGCGGTTCCTGATACCCGTGGCTCGCGCGGATGGCGCCTTCTTTGCATAGCCCACTATTTTCCCCACGGGCAGCGGTCTGACCAGTGCCTCCCCGTTTTCATGAATAAACTGAGCAACAGACACACACTGGCTCTTTGTCTAGGACAGTTTTAGACTTGCTTCAAAAAGCAGGTTTATTCACAGCTTAAATAGAAGAGTGCTCAGAAGGGTAAGGGAGGGCCAAAGAGAACTGAAGCCTCGTAAAAGGAGGTCAGCCAGCAAGGAAGCCCGCAGGCGCCCGCACACTGCTGTGTCTGGCCAGGCCGGGAGGGGCGAGGAGCCACCCAGACGGCGCGGGCAGGGCAGGAGCGGGCTCCACCCCGTGGCCGCCACAGGGGCCGTCGGTGGGCAGGTCCTTCCCCCTCCGTGTCCTCCTCGCCAGTGGCCGTGGGCCTGAGAGGGCTGGCCCCACAGGAACGGCCACCCGGGGCCACCGGGAGCTGGCCGTGCTCGGGGTTCCAGCCAGCCAGGTGAGGCCAGCGAGGAGTCTGCGGACCAGGCCTCCTTCCTCCCCAGGCCCCAAGCAGAGCCAACCAAACCCGGTCACGCGCCGAGCGGAGCCACCGCTTTCCGGTGCAGAAAGGCAGCGGGTCCCGCCGTGGTGGCCCGTGCACACGCGTGGCGAAGTCCAGCCTCATCCCTCGGGTGTCTGAGCAGGGTGGGCCGCGGGCGCGCCCTCTGCCTGCGTCTCGGTCCTCGACCGAGGGAGGCCGTCCCTGACCGGGCTGTTTGTTCCAGCCAGAAGATTCCCGAGATCCCCGCAGACGTGGTGGGGGCCCTTCTGTTCCTGGAGGACTACGTTCGGTACACGAAGCTCCCCAGGAGGGTAAGTGGTCGAGAGAGCAGGAGCGGCCGCCGCGGAAGAGACGCGCGG